TCCCTACACTAAGAATAAAAATAAAAAGGTGTATTTCACATACTGCAACACTATATCAGCAACTCTAAAAAAACAATTATATCATGCAAAATGCTCTTATCCACACCTACAGATCATAAGGAACAAGCCTTGCCATGTTCTTATTTAAGGAGGCTAAGAGAAATAAAAAGAGCAAGACATTTTTTATGATACAGTTACTGAGCTTTAATTTCCCACCATTGTTATCCACATCAGTTTACGACTACAAACAAGCACAGGCAGCATATAAGGTACTATCTATTACTATAATTATTTTTAAAGTCTTCACCTCATAGGGTTAGGAAAAAACAATGATATGCAACGCGGCCATAACCATAAAACTGCAGATGGTAGCTGAGCTACTTTGTTCTTGTCTAATACTGAGATCTCATTAAACTGCATGCTTAAACCTTAAATATTTGAGAAAAGAACCCTTTAGTAAATGCTAGTTAAAATAGTTAAATCATTCTGATCAAGCATCCATCCTTTCCTTTGCTCAGCTTTCAAGCTCATTGTTTTTTCATCATTTATGTAGTTTGCCACTTCTCAATCTTCCAGTCTAGGCAGCCCCAAAACTTCTAAATAAAGGAAAAAGGGAAGGGGGGTGGGTGGAGAAGCACTCAAGCCACCTTTAAGCCTTATAAAGAAGCTGATGAGAGAACAGACAAATACTTTCTTCTCTTCTTTTTTGATTCTAAGTTAGATCACCTTGAAGACTCCTTTGGCCAAAGTCATTCAGTGAGACAACAGGCAGAAACTTCTCTTCATTCTTTCTAAGTCTACTTCTTTGCCCTCTACCTGTTCTACATTATTATTATTATTATTCAATCTTCAAGAAACAAACTAACTTTTTATAAAAGGAAGACTGCACTACACACCATGTATCGAGTTTTATCTCTGAAATATTATTGCCTTTAACAAGTAATTGCAGCAGCACACCAGATTCTTAGCTGTAACACAGAGCATTAGTAATTATTTTTGCTTATTGCTTTCTCACCAAGCCAGCCACAAAATTTAAGTAAATGGCTGCCAACAGGCTAAAACTGTAAGATGGAAGAGGAAATGACATGACGGAAAAGTAGAATTTATGCAAAATGTTGGCAAGATTGAAGCAAAACCCAGAAATCTTCATAAATTAGCACTACACAGTAATTCATATTACTTGAATCATGCTTCTCTATCCTTCCACTTCAACATGATATGGCGGGAAGTAATTAATGGAGACACTCCCTTGTATAAAGCTGGAAAGAATTAATCTAGCATCTCATTTGTGGTATTGTCTGTTTGGAAAAACAATTTTTCCCCATATAGAACAGTTTGTTTCACATGTAACTCCAGAGATCAGCAGTTCTTTGTTCTCTAAATACACATAAAGAAATTTAATGGGAGCCCATATGGAAATTTTAATCTTCACAAAAGCTTTGCTACATATGTAGGTAATGTGTTCCCCAGTCACTTATCTTTCTAAAAAAAAATTAAAATAAGACATCCAGAAAACCAATTCAAACAGAGACCTGAAATTTAGTACTATATATTACAGATTAAATAAGAGCATTAATTTTTGCTATTTCTTTTCTCTCCCCTCTTTTCTACTCAAAACTACAAAACCTGCTTAGATTAAAACCTATTTTTCTTAATTTATTTTTTTGCTGTATGCACAGCACACAGTTCATGCTCTTCTGATCAGTTTTACATAAAGTCTAAAGCTAGAAACTAGTTATGTCCTCAATGATTAGGCACCTATTTTTGTAGGAGTAAAGGCCACTAAGAACACCTGGGGATTTCATTAGGAAGATAAATAAGAGATACTAGATACTTTTAAAATATTAACTTTAGTAAGGTTTGGAGAGAGATCTGCTAAACCTTTCAAAATGACAGGCCTCATATAAAAGCCTCATACTTTGTCACTGAATCAATTAGAGCAAGTTCTGAGGAATCACAATACAAAAGACAAATGAGCTTTCCACAGATCCAGTATTATCATTAATATATCTTATGGATGTAATTCCAAGATCCACAACAAAACAAACAAGCAAAATATATACATAGGGCACATTCCTGTCACTTAGCTATTCTCTGTGTTAGCTATGGATTATTTAATATACTGAATTTGCAATCAAGTGTAGGGCAAGATACATAACGTGATACAAAATTAAAGAAAGAAATAAGATCCCCCTTTCACAATGCCACAGTCTAAGCTTGTATATCATACTTGTATCTGTAACAATCTCATAATACTGTTCAAAAACATGACACACATATTCCTGCAAACTTGTTTTGGCTGATCAGTTCAGACAAGGAAAACTGTCAGTTTAAACAAGGGGGAAGAAGGCAAAAGACAGAGCACAAGCACCTTCCATCCAACGCCTCAGAAAACAAAAGAGCCAGATGTACCAAATACACTGATCAGAGCTAATATTCCTTCAGGAGAAGATGTGTACCAGTTTGCGATACATACACATTTCTACCTGTATTCCTCAAAGGCCAAGGAATAGTGAACTGGCACAAGTATGCCAGTAAGAATTGGCACAACTGTGCCCCAGCTGAAATCAGACATAAAAAGGAAAACAGGTTCACAACCAGAATTTTTTATGAAGCCGGCAATTTTCAATAGCCAAAATGTTTGCATTATTTTATAGGGGGCAAAACGCTAGACACTGTGAGACCAGAGTAGGATAGACAACTGACTCTCTTTACAACCGTGCAGGCAGCAGAAGAGCAGCTTTTTGATTATGTGCCTAAGGCCTGGATTTTTCAGGCAGCACTTACAGGTTTAGAGGGGCAGCAGCTGTCATCCTTGTGCTCCATTAGTGTCTGGTCACTGCCAATGCTTTTCTAGGAAGGACTTTGACCACTTGATCTGTGAAAGCAGCTGGAGGAACACCCAAGCTCTCTTGCTGCCTTACCCCTCCTCGGCAGGAGCACTAAAACTTCAACATTTCTCTCCAGCTTCCATCATTCCAGCAAAACCCGTAAGGTAATCTCATACCCAACATAATGGTTGCTAGAGCTAATTTGTCACACAAGGACAAGTTCTTTGTCCTTTTCCACAGTTGCACAGTTATGAAACATGTGCTTTGTGCTATACAAAAAGCTACGTGGCAGCACCACAATACTAAATGAAGAGGAAGCTATAGTTTCCACATTTGTAATCTGTAATAAAGGAAGTATCCCATCAAGCTGTAATATTAATTACATAGCACAACCTAAAGGAAATCACCCTGCCTAAAAGAGTTAAGACATTAAATATCAGAAAGTTTCAAAATTACAATCTTCCTGGCTTTTTACTAGGGAGGGGAGAAGTGTGACAGCACAGTTGTAATGACTTAAAAACTACGTGCAATTCACAAACACGATACTCATTCTCAGTGACTCGCTGGTCTTCACAGGAGAGTGAATTACTGCGAAGACATGTTTTACACACCAGCTTTAAGGCTGCACACAGCCTGCCTTTAAGAGGACTCCTCTCTAACCACTGCTGATGAGCACAGCTCCTGACAGGAAGGGGAGACCAGCCCTGTGCCAAAATCAGATCACACCACACTTTGCTGTAACAAAAGATGACTCCAGGGAGTTTGTGCTCATCATCGTTATTCCACACACGTTAAGAGCCACCTCCAACGGCTTTTACTTGAATTAAACCTTTACTATTGTAAAGGGCAGAGGTGGTATAAACACATTTATACCGTGCCGATCATGGAAGGGGTAATGAGAGATAAAGGGAATGGAGTATTGCTCCCTCTCCCTATTTAGAGACTTCCCCCACTCCCCCAAAAAACCCCAAGGAACAACACCCCAAACAATGTCTCAAGATAACCACACAAACCCGGTGAGCAAAACCACATCCATTCCTTGCCCTGTAACCGTCCTCCCCCACCCCCACCCCTTTTTTTTTTTTGTTTGTGTTTCCAGCTGAGCACTTGCCTCTCCTCCATGCCCATCAAATATCCCGAAGATGGAGGGGTGAGTCTTGTTCACCAGGTCAGTGATTACTTCGAACCTGTCCTCCATGTGATCCCTCCGGCCTTGGATGGAGTAGACAGCCACATTGTGGCTCTTGAACTCCCAGGTCTTGGAGAACTCTGCATCCAGCACGTCTAGCCCCCCGAGCCTGTCATTCTGCATGATCTCGGCCACCTTGCCCTTCACCATCTTCACCGCATCCCTGCTGGACTTAACAATGGTTTTCACCTCATCCGTGTGGAAGAAATAACTCCACAGGGCCAGGCTGATGCACAGCAAGAACAGGGTCTCCGGTCTAAGCAAGAAGTAACGCATGATCCGACCCAGTAGAGACAGCAAAGTCATTGTATCCTCTATCATTTATTATCGAGACCGTGTATCCCCACACCATGCAACGCGCACCCCGGGGGCCGGGATGGCTCTGAGCCGAGGCAGCGAGTCAGTG